AAAGAAAGAAAGAAAAAGAAAAAGAGAAAGAGAAAAAATATCAATTCTAAAAAGAGACAAGTGAAAGGAAAACAAAAGCAATGGGAAATGTACAGAGAAAGCAGGAACAAGTAACCCTAATGACTTGAGCAAAGAGAAGTGGCTACAGGGAGGGAGGGGACCTGAGACAGGAGGACCGGTGACCAAATCAGTACTGCTGAGCTGTCGGTATACTAAGGAATCAGATTTTTCTGTGATTCTCAATGCAAGGTGCACTCTGTTATACTGAATAAGTTTAATAAGATCATCTATGCCTATGCCTAACCCAGAGTCATTAAACTATAGTAACGTTGTTTGTTTTTCCGTACCAACAGAAGCAAGTTGTTTGTTCTTTATGTTTTGTGATTTGTTTCTCGTCTGTTATAACTTTGTTCTGTTTGGGGAGGGAGGTGAAGTTTATGTAAGATTACAGCAGTATGAATCTCAAGATGTCTGGTGACACGTATACATAAGAAAGAAAATGGGTCATATAGCATGGGGAGTAATCCCGTTGAGCTGCTGACAGGTAGCAGAAAAGGGCAGGGTCTGAATCACAGGAGTCACAGAGCAGGCGAGTTCTGCTGCTGTCTTAGCACAAAGAAAGGGCAGCCTGAAGACACAGGACAGATCCAAGCTCAGACCTGCTCACCAGGGTGCACGTGTGTAGGGCAGCCGCTCCCTGCACACACGATTTCATTTCACAAAAGGTTTCACATGGAAAAAGGCGCGCTTGAGTCAGATAATACCTGTGGAACAATTCAGCTCAAGGTCATCTATTTTCAAGATTTTTTTTTTTTTTTAAGGAACAATGAAAACAAAAAGAAAACTCACTAATTTTTTTAAGGCAAATCAGTTGATTACTCAGTACCCATAAATAAGCGGCCTGTTTCTTGGCCCCATTCTCTCAAGCACAGCATGTGAATTATTAAAGTATTTTTACCCTATAATGGCACTGTCGACACTTAGCTGAATGATAGGAATTAGACAAAAGCTGCCGGGAGTCAGGGGGTAGGTCTGAGTGGCAACCATCTGAATTTGCAGAACATAAAAAGTCGACATTTTGCAAACTCCCATTTTCAGCATGAGAGACTATGAAATAGTAATTACCTATATTTTCCATTGAAAGGGAATAAAACTCAACTTGACATCTGCATTTTAAAAGCACTCAGAACAAGCAGCAAGGTACGAATTTTCTGTGAAAATCACAGACCCTCATTAGTCAACGAATGACAAGTGAGGGGAAAATGGAAAGAAAGAGACCACCCACCTCATGTCGGTGTCTTGCCACATTCAGTTCAACAAAGTCTTCGCTGTAGTTCACTGAGAAGTTGAGCGCGTTCACCAGATGGGCAGCCACGTGCACGCCTATGGAATCAAATCGGGTACAAGCCAGTGGCATTTTCATATGTGCTCTATGACAAGAAATCAGTGCCCTTCCCTCAGTGATGAATACCTAGATTTTGACAGCTACATGAGCAAAAGAAAACAAACAAACAAAAAAGTAAAATGAAAAATGAGAGTTTAAAAACCGAAAAAGAAGAAAAAATGTTGGACATGGACAATAAAAGAAACTTCTAAAGGCTGGAATGAAAAAACCCTGGTAAGTGAAGGTAGAAAAGAACACCTCGTCCCTGTGTACATTCGCCTGCATTTTACAATAAGATGAATACACATTTACTTCGGTGGCTCTTGGGTAGCTCTTAGGGCTCCAATTTTGCTGCTTCTTGTACCCTTCGCTGCCAAAAAAATAAAATACAGGCCCACTAAAAAGCTTTTAACCACTTGAAAATTTTCATATTCCACACATAATATCCCAAACTCAATAGCAAAATTTTAGAAACTACTTTCTAAAAAATAAATTCAGAAACATTAACCTCCATTTGATAAATAACACACCAGAACTGGCAAAGTAAGTAGAGTATCCAACTAACCTAGAGCTAGCCCAAAAGAGAAAATGTCAAACTTGCTGCAGATTTCAAGACATACTCATGTTGACACAGCCAGGGAAGAAGAAAATGATCGCGAGGAGACTGAACAAGAAGGAACACACGACCTGGGCACCTGGCCCCATTAGGCCCTTTGCCAACTTTTCCTTTAGGTTAAATGAGGCCTGGATTAATAGCGCTTTAAATTGTGTCTCAGAGAACCACAGGTACCTGAAAAACCTGTGATCCTGATCACATTTTTCAACTGCTCAGTTTACTGATCTCTAAAACGATTGTGGCAGATATTAAAAGTCTTGAAAAAGTACCCTGTAATTGCTTAATAAAACATTACTAGTTACAGCAATATATGGAGCACCTGTCTCAAAAAAAGGCTGAGAAACTACAGAACTCAACAATCGCCTAAAACCTAGAACATGACCTACAAGGAGACCAAGTGATATGTTACGAAGACCAACCAAAGCAAAAAACAAATAATAAAAATCCTTTAAGCTTACTTAAAGGATTTAAAAAGAAAGTAAAATCAAAATAATGATGACCAAAGAATCCCATTAAAAGTAGATAAATTTAGGCTGGAGAGATTGTTGGGCTGGGGAGCTAGCTCAGTAGAATAAGTGCTTCCTTGGCAAGCACAAGGGCCTGAGTTCAATCCCCGGTTCCACCAATCAGTCAGTCAATCAATCAATCAATCAATATAGATAAATTCAAAACTTACTCTAAACTTGTAGTAATCAAGAGAGTTGGTCATGGTGAAAAAATATACAAAGAGCATAGTGAATAGAATAGAGGCCAAAACCAGAGGTACATGAATATAGTTAACTGATCTTTAACAAACGAGCAAAGACAGCATTTTCAATTAATGCCTTGGAGCAACTGGGCATTTACAAGCAAAGAAAATGAGTCTGGACACAGACTTCACATCTTTTATAAAAATCAACTAAAAACAAGTCGTAGACTTTACCATAAAATCCAAAGCTAAAAAACCTCTTAAGAATAACATGAAAAAAAGAACTAAATAACCTTGTGTTTGGTGATTACTTTCTTATTCACAATTTTCTGTTTCATTATTCACTTAAAAATTTAACCTATTAATATTATTTTGGTTGTGCATACTTACGGGGTACAACGTGATAACTGAATACAGGTTCAGAACATGCCACGACCAAATCAAGCTACTTAAATGCCCATCTCAATGAAATTTTTAAAAATCTTATTAATGCATATATATTTATATACATTTATAAGGTGTAGTATATTTCAAGATATAATACCATGTGTACTAATCAAGTGAATATTAGTATCACTTTATCAGTAGTTTTTGTTTGACGATTATATACTTTTCTGTTTACTCATAAAATATGTAGTAAGTGATTGAACACGATGGTCACGCACTACTCTAGAACACTGCCGCATGGACAGAACTATCTGCATGTTCATTATACAATCTGTACCCCCCATTCTTTTTCACCTTTAATAATCACTGTTTTACTGGAAAGAGCATGGGACGGTTGTCTTCCCGTATGTGCTGTATTTCACTTCTCAGCCGCCACTCCATTTTGCTGCGTACCACAAGTGCTTACGGCTGAACGTCCAGCTTGCCTGTACCCCACGTCGTCTTTACCCACTCATCTTCTGACAGACAGCCGCCTGACTTCCGCATTTCAGGCGTCGGGCAGTGTGCAGCAGCACACACAGGCACGAGTTCTTCTTTGACACATTTATATCATTTTCTTCTGATATATACTAAGATGCCAGATGGCTAAATCACATGGCAGGTCTATTCTTACTTTTTCAAGAATCTCCTTACAAGCCAGGTGTGGTGGCACATGCCTGCAATCCCAGCACTCAGGAGGCTGAAGCAGGAGGAGCGCTGGGAGTTCAAGACCAGCCTAGTTCAAGTTACTCAGTTCAAGTTACCAAAAGGCCAAAGAGCGGCACAGAGAGACCCTGTCTTAGAAAGACCAAAGCAAAAACACACACAAGGAATCTCCTTCCGTACAGTGATTGTGCTGATTTACACTTCCACCAAACTTCTATGACAGTGTCTTTTTCTCTACGTCTTCACCAGCATTTATTATTTTTGCCTTTGGGCAGTATTGATTCTAACTGGGATTAAGTGCTATCTCTGCATGGTTTTGATTTCCCTGTCCTGGATAGGCAACTGTATAGAACAGTGATGCCGAATATTTCAGACAGGAGTCCTCAAACTGCAACCGAAAACCCGTTTATTTTTCGCAAAATGCCAACACTGTGTATGAGGTTGAAGTTTATAAAAACAACTCATACTTTCACATCTTCTGTCTTAAATGAAAAGAAAAATACATGTTCCACAAGTTCGGTACCACAAAAATAAAAAATATTCACATTAATTTATTGATCATTTGAATTTCTTCTTTTGAGAAGTATCTATTTATTCATACGATATGCTAATTTTAAAATTGGAGGCAGGCTCGTAGACCACTGAGCTATCTCCCCATCCTAAAATGGACTTTTTTGTTATTGAGTTTTTAATTTATTCATACATTCCAGATATTAATTCCTTGTTAAAAGGATAGTTTAGGGCCGGGGAGATGACTCAGTAGAATAAGCGCTTGCCTGGCACGCACAAGCGCTTGAGTTCAATCCTCGGTTCCACCAAAAAAAAAAAATTAAAAAATAGAATCGTTTTAAGAACTTTTTTTCATTCTGTCATTTGTTTCTTCACTTTGTTAATTACTTCTTAGGGGCTTATACAAAAAGCAGATGCCTAAACTAGGATCTCGAAGTATTTCCCCCACATTCCCTTCTAATATTTTCACAGATTCAGCTCTTCCATTCAGGTCTTAAACCCAGTTTTAACGACCATTCCCTAAAAGTGGGAGATGGGTCAACTTTGCGTTTGCTGGGTGTGACTGCCCAGTATCCCTAGTATCATTTGTGCATGAGGCTCCTCTTCCTACAGCATGTTTCTGGTGCTTGTGTCAAGTATCACTTAGCGTTAGCTGCACAGGTCTTTCTGGATACTTATTCTGGTCTCTGGGTCTGTTTTTACACCCATTTTTCTGGTCTGATTATTACAACACAGTAGCATATTTTGAAGTCAGCTACTGTGAGGCCTCTAGCTTTGTTCTTTTGCTCAATATTTCTTTGCCATTGTTTGCTTTAGAAGCAAATGAGTACAACCTCTTTGCCCACTTAGAGTCTCTTAACCTTCCCTATGTGTCTTAGTTACTTTTTCTCTCATTATTAAAGCAAAACACCTGACACCCAAAGTCAAAGGGGTTTGATCTTGCAGTTTGTAGGGATCTCAGTCCATAACCAGCTAGCTCCATGGAGGAGAGCAGCTCCTGGCAGCCAGAATGTAGCAAACAAAAAAACAGGTGTGACATTTCTTCCTGTCTCTTACATTGTGCCCAGGCTCCAACCAATCAGTCGGCTGATCCAGCAGGCTCCTACACTTAATTCCAGCACCCTTAATCCTGCCATTGCACCACAAATCAATTACACCCTCCAGATTCAAAACAGTCCCATCTAAATCTGCATGAAGCTTTGGGGAGACATCTACACTCAAACCATAACATGCCACCCCTAGCTGCCCAAAGACTTACATACATTCCTTTATGCAAAAGGTATTTTAGTCTACCTCTAAGAGCTGCCAAAGTCTAACAGTTTCAGCATGACTAAAAAGTTCAAGTCCAAAGTCTCCGCTGAGATTGAAGGGAACTCTTAGCTGTGAGCACATGTTGAAATGAAGATGGTTAAACACTTCTCACATACAATGGCACACAACAAATATTACCATTTCAAAAGGTACAAATGGCGGATATAAAGGAATGAGACTAAAGCAACTGCAAAATCCAGCAGAGCAAACATTAAATCTGTAGTTCCACGTGAAGGATCCCCAGTCATCTGTGGCAAGTTATGAACTCAGAGCACTTGGGTGGCACCACTGCTGTGGCACTGCCTGACTGCCATAGTTCCCACAGCTTCTCCCTGAGATTTGCTCCACTCCCCGCTGCAGTCCTCCTCAGACCATCAACATCCATGGATTCCCCAAGATTCTGGGGTCTCTATTGCACCTTTAACATCTTACTCCTTCACACGGTGCCCTCTAAGGGGCACAGTGCCTGGACTCCCAGACCTTTTTCTGATCTAGGTGGGGGCCTTCTCTGATCCCACAACTCTTGCACAGTGCAGAGGCTTAAAACCAGCACCACATGGATCATGCCAAGGTTGGCCACCAGCTGCAACAGTATCCAGATGTCCTTCTGTCTTGGCTATAATAGTTCAATGCCTATGAACCAAATCCTGAGGAACAACTTCCCTAAACTGCCACCATTCTGGAACATGGTGCTCTGGGGCACTCACCTAAAAGCAGACCTTTACCTTCACATCTCTGAGGCTGCAAAGCATGGAGTTCTGCCACATCTTGTGATGCCCTAA